AAAAATTTTCATCTCATCACCATTCAATTTGGAATCTCATTTTTAAAATATCTTAATATAATCAGAATTTTATTAGTAGGTTAAAATATTTGCGAATATTAATTATTAGGATCAAAGCTTTCATACGATTACATTAATTTTTTTAATCGAAATTCTATTTCATTACTACTCAATTTTAAATCATAGAAGCATTAATAGCTCATCTACTTATATTCCATCATAATGTTATTTTATTCAATTTTTATATATCTGATTTTCATATTTTTTCAAATTCTGTCGCAAAATCTTTAAAATTGTTATATTTCCTTACAACACGGTTAATATAGTATTCTCCTTAACTTGTTAAATGCAATTTTGCAATATTTGGAAATGATCAAATATCCTAATGTAAACGTTTGCTCTTAGAATTCAGTGTCATAGTCGATTGTTTCTAACAAATTAATCTTTTTTGCATTGATTTTCGAAGTATTGCATTTTCATTACGGCCAAATCTGCTCTCTTTCATTAGATTGATAGCTCATAATAGTTCTTGTAATCAGAGAGGAAGAATCTTACGAAATATACCTCTAAATTTTCACTTTATAGATAAATGTTATATTTTTTCGTTACTCGATTATTGTCCAATAAACACAATCATATTAAACTTTGTCCAAAATAAACAATAAAGAATAGTTTTTAAAGTTTCTTAAACGGTTTATGAAGGTTCATATTTAATTGATTTTTTTATTTTCAATTCATGTATCTATGGTTCGTTAGTCTATCATCCCTTCATAAATTATCTGCAAAGAATTTTGTAGAATCTCAACTCTGTGAGGAACTACAATAAATTGAAAAGTCATTTTGTGATATCAAAATCCAATATATTATTCTTTCTAATACATATTAATAATATCTGAGATGTAGTACACTATATATATACTTTCAAAAATCTTATATGTTTATTAGTTATTGAGATAGAAGCGATTTAATTCTTTGAAAATCGACGAAAAGTGCCATATTCATAAAATTATAGGGTAATTCAAAATTGAATTCATTGGGATTTCTCTCAAAATTCATTTCCCTGAAATTTTGTTTTTATTGTCAATAATTTGTTGTGACATTCATTTCCTATACGGTGTAGAAATAAAAATAAATCCGATTTTGTAAAGAGAAAAAAAAATAGTTTCAAAAAAAAAATTATCATTATATGGAGCATACTTTTGATACATTATGCGATGCAATTTCGTTTGCCTTTCGCCAAGAGCAAACTTCATTGCTAAGTCTAGACAAGATATGTGAAGTACTATCAAAACCAGATTTATTTGTCAATTCAAAAACCCAAGGAATTATACCAACCTCAACAATTGCTCGGAGACGTATTTCTAGTACCTTATCAAGTTCAGATTTATTTGTACGTGCAGGTCCACCCAGAACTTGCCTCTGGGCTATTCGTCCTAACAATCCAACCTTCATTAGTGACGGTGCGATAGCAGCATCAATAGAGCAGATGCTTACAACGAATGGTCCCATGACAACCGAACAGTTTGTCGAACGACCGATTTAACCGGAGCACATAAACCTTTATTTGATCGATTTTTAGCAGAACATCAAGACGAATTTGCTCAACATGAAAACGGAACATGGTGGTTTATTAATCAGCCACTGCCATTACGAAAAGAATTCGACAATTTATGTCATGCAATTTTATCTGCTTTTGAACCATTTCAAGAGGGAGCAACAGTAGAAGAAATACATCGATACTTATGTCTTTCCAGCGTCGAGAAAGCTAATTACACGACGTTCAATTTCGAGAGAATTATCACGACGAACAGACGTATTTTTACATTTATCTAGAGCAAAATACGGCATATTGCCATCACGGCGTACATTTCCGAGCCACAATCCTCAAACTTTCCCACAATTTAATTCATATGTACCTCCACCGCCTCCGCCACCTCCGCAGAGGAACTTCATTCCAATGCCCAAATATTAGGAATAAATGGAGGCCAGCAGGACATATTCCGATCGAAATTCCGAAAATTGATGACGATAATGATGATCAAAACGGCGGAGATCCAGAACAAAAGTCAATGTTTGATGACCCGATTCGGTTCCATCATGAAGATGAGTTTGATCCAGATTCATTTTTCGAGCTGAATTTAATTTCGAAATTTGAAAAAAAATTTTTTTCTTCTTCTTTCATTTCAATAAAATGTGTTTTAAACTTTTTTTGTTAATTTTACAATAATTTTTTGTTTATTTAGCAAGTAAATCTAAAGATACTGTGAGAGGGTGCCGAAGTCAAATTCCCTTCTCATCGAATCTGCGTAAGATTGTCAAAACAAATTGAGGCTCTTATACGAGCAGAATCTAATATTTCTTGAGCGTATTGTACTGGAATGAAGCCCTTCCCTCTGTCATCTCTTGCTTGGAAGGCCTTCTTAAGATTTGCGGCTTTTCCTGTCTCCTTAACATAATCAATAGCATTATTAAGATCGCACATTGGGAATAAATCGCAGTGAAGTTCCATAAATTCAAGTGTTGCTTGTGATGCGTCTGTAAGATAGAATTTACGTCCAAGAGCTGTAATTGTGGAGCACATAGAAATCTTTGGGCTCGTATGGTCCTTGGACTGCTGGATTTGTGATTTTACCGCGTGAATAGTATGGGTGTGCTTGTGAAGTGCATGGAGATCTGCCTTCTGGATAGAAATTTCTTTTGTATTCACAAAATATGTAAGGAGGAAAATGCGCTGCTTATCTTCCTGATTTGGGGTGATGAGCTTAGACTGAAATGTCACCTTCGCTTCTCTGTCCATCCTTTGTATAAACCGTCACTTTACAATTAAATTTTAAACATCCAATATTTTATTCAACTTCGAGTTTTGCAGTGGTATATTTGATTTCTGATGTAGAATAGATTTTCGGATTTTCAAAGTTTTATTTGAGTATCAGAAATTTATTATTGGATATGAATTTGGAAAAGTTTATGGTCACGTAGGGATAAATTGAGGCAAATGTTGGTGATCTCCATGATTTCCAGAAGAATATGGTAGAGTTCGTCAATATTTAGTAAGATAGAGATGACTTTTTTTTTTGAAGATTTAGTAATCGTTTTGATATCATAAATTATCTCAAAGCATATCATCACCAAAGTTCAGGAGATCATAAATGAGCTTTATGAGTTGTTGTCTAATTAAATGCAATGTTTAAATTAGTTATTATGATGATCAAATCAATAATTAATTCGATGAAAATATTTTTATAAATAAGATGTATTTAATATATCAAGAGCTTTTTAAGACACAAAGATTCCTGGTTAGGATCTTGCATACCGCCTCAATTATTTGGTCAACAAGAGCAATCTTAACAAAGGGTATTAAAAAAATGACGGAAGGTAAATATCTCACAATACTGAATATTTGCTTAAGCATGATGAAAAGCAGCTTGGGGTGAACCTTAAATTTATGGTAAACCATTATATTAAATTTTCGCCTATCTATTTTAATTGTAATATTGGAGAAACTGCTCTTTAAAATGCAACAAATAAAACTATAAATTTAGATTGTAATTAGAGAATGCAATAATGAATAATTTATGTGCAAGTTTAATTTGAGGTAATTTAGATAGAGCTATATTTCTTGTTTTTATATTACATGTTTCCTAAATTATGCTCAATAGTGTGTATCTTTAACAGATTTATCAGTTATTTTTAATGTAACTCTTTTGAATTAAGGAAAATTAAAACAAAAGATAGAAGTGTAGAAGTATTTTGACATAAAATATGAATTTTTAGTTGGAGTAACGTATTTCAAATCATTTAATTATATTCTCTACCGCTCAAATCCCTTTAATAAAATTATATTTATTAAATATCAGCAAATGTAATATAGAAGTCAATACTCGATTAGAAAAGCAATGGTTCAGTGATTTCGATTATTTATGCATGAAATAAGTAACTTGGAGTAATCAAATTAATATTTCACAGAAAGATATACATTTTCGACGTTACAAGTTGTTTATTTAATCAAAAAAAGCCTTAAGACTAATTGTTTGATGTGAGTTTCGATCAAAATATATTTTGATAATTTTCATGGATATTAGTTGCATAACTGATCAATATTAGTATCTTTTGATAGTTTAAGAAAGATTAGTAGATCAATTAAGCATAATTGAGTGAACAAACATTTTCATTTTTATATTGGGTAGTAATAGAAGGACATTTGCATATATATGAATCAGATGCAAAAATATAGTATGAATTAAGCACGTTTGATATTCTTTGGCTGGTGATCGTAAACGCGAAATTTGCTGAAGAACGTAAATGCATGAATTTTCATTTTGAAAATCTTTGTGCATATTGTTTAGTTCAAACTACCGAATTAATGCCTTCAAACATCAGCTTAAAATTTTTATGCAATGATTTCTTACTTAGAACATTTAAACTGATTCACGTAATTCGCATTTTATAGAAAAGTAGGATTATAAACAATTTAGCACGTTGTTATTGATAAATTATCACGTATTCCATCAAACAATATAATTACTGGCTTATTTTTATGTATTTTTTCAGCCATTTTGAAGAAATAGGTTTGTTATATCGCAATTGACATGAATGAATGAAAATAAGTGTGTGTTTATTTTAAAATATGACCAAAAATTTTCCCAAATTTTATTCATTCTCAAATTCGATCATCTTTCTCAATTGATTGGCGACCTATTAATTAATAATATTGTTAATCAATAGTATTATTAAAATTGCTTTATTCTTTTCTGAAAATAATTTATCCACTCACAATTTATCAAATTTTAGATTTTAAATGTGTAATAAAAGTCTGTAATATCAGGGTCGATACCTTTTATAATTGAGAGGATATATTTATCAATTGAAAGAAATTAATGGCCAATGATCGAAGGATTTGAGAGGTTTTTATTTAATTTCAATAAATTCCCGGATTATCCTTTACAGTCAAAGCATATTAATAAAATATACAAGATTGGAGAAGGGAATAAAATTAATTGAATTCATTGAAAACTATCGATTGATCGTTCTCAAATATCCTTGACAAGGTTTTTTATTAAAAATAAAGACATGACAACACAGTTGATTCCAAAAAGAACCAGAATCGTCGCAACAATCGGCCCAGCCAGTGACTCATTAGAGTCCTCGAGCAGCTTGCTAGAGCCGGCGTTAACGTCTTCAGATTAAATTTCTCCCACAGTACTCATGAATACCACAAGCAAACACTCGACAGAATCAGAGAAGTCGAGAAGAAGGTTGGTTTCAAGATTGGCGTCCTTCAAGACATCTGCGGTCAAAGATTCGTGTTGGCAAGTTGGAGAACCCATTTGAACTCCACTCCGGCGATAAGATCATTGTCAGAAGAGATGAGATCGTCGGCAAGAAGATCGAAGATCATGTCTACGAGCTTTCCATCAATCATCCACAGATCTGTGACTTAATCAAGGTTGATGAGTATATCTATCTCATTGATGGTGCCATCAGAGCCAAAGTTACAAGTGTCTGCAAGGACCATATCGAAACAGTCATCGAGAACGATGGCATTTTATATTCCAACAAGGGCGTCACTTCCCGAACACAAAGCTCAACATCGATGTTATCACACCAAAGGATAAGCTCGATATCGAGTGGGGCGCTAAGAATGATGTTGATTTCGTCGCTATCAGCTTCGTTCAGCACAAGCAGGACGTTTTGAACGCTAAGAGTCTCATTAAGCAGTACGGTGGACACGGAAAGGTCTATTCCAAGATCGAAAAGTTCGACGCCATCGAAAATATCGATGAAATTATCGAAGCTTCCGATGGTATCATGGTCGCTCGTGGTGATCTTGGTATTGAGATCCCATTCTACCAGGTTCCAGCCTGCCAGAAGAAGATCATCCACAAGGCCAACGAATTATGCAAGCCAGTCATCACAGCTACACAAATGATGCTTTCCATGGTCAAGAACGATATGGCTACACGTGCTGAAATCAGTGATGTCGCAAACGCCGTTCTTGATGGTACAATGCTGTTATGCTTTCTGAAAGAACAGCTGTCGGTGATCACCCAGCTGCTGTCGTCAAGGCCATGGCTGAGACAATCCACGAAATAGAAAAGATCTATCCATACGGCAAATACGATGAATTCAAGTTCGCAGATGAGACAGAAATGGTTTCTAGCTCACAGCAAGACTTGCTACAGAATTGGTGTTAAGGCTATCATTTCTCTTACAGCTTCAGGCCAATCTGCCGTTAAGATTGCTAGAAACCGTCCAGAATGTGATATCTTAGCTGTTACACATACAGACCAGATCGCTAGAGTTCTTACAATGGTTTGGGGTGTTACACCAGTCCTTCTTATCAAGGCTGATCGCTTGAACTTGATGCTTGCAAGCACAATCAAGGGACTTCTTCAGAATAAGTCAATCGCCGATAATCATACATACATTATGACTGCTGGTTATCCAACAGGTTTCGTTGGCAGCCTTAACTACGTTAGAATTCTTAGAAAGGAGCAGATCGAGTACTATTCTAATGTTCAGAATAAGGATCTCAAGTAAACAAAGCGTAAATAAATTTTATCTTTTCAAATCTACTTAAGTTTTTTGTTTTTAATTCATTTGACTGAGAAATTCCAAAAATTATTTCTTTTTACGAACATTCACCGTTGAAAATAACTGACATATTGTATACTATCTATAATTGAAACAATACAAAAGAATAATGGATCCTTTCGCTAAAATTATTATGTTCAATTGTGATGAGGGTTGATCTAATGATACATATAAATTTACGTACTTTCCATGATGATTCCCCTTATTATTTTTGATTTTGTCTGTGTTTTTAAAATAATTTATCAAAATTCAAGATAATTGTTTTTGGCATAGTTATTATTTGAATTTATATGAGTAATATATAGTAATTTCATTAATAAATCCTAAAAATAACATGAAAAAACAAAGAATTTTCTTCAAATTTCCATGAAAATATCCAAAATATAATCAATATCACAATTCAAATCTATTTGCATCAAAATCTGCAGAACCACACTCAGAGACAAAAATTTTTGAACAAATCTCTCTAAAAAACAAAAGTTATGAAGCGCACAAACAAAAATGACAAATTAAAGCATAATAAGGGTGGTCAGGTTAAGAAGTTAAGAAAGGAGCCAGACTATAAGTCTCTTCAGAGAGCGAAAGATGCTTTAGCGAAGTCTGCAATGAACAGAAAGAAAGAAATCGCCAAGCACAATGCAGAAGAACGTTACGCAGAAGTTTCTCAAGGCTTAAATGCTCCAGAAGCTCCTATTATTGAACAAAGTGCCGCTCATGAAGCTTATAGAACCACATATTTCGCTCAATTCAAGAAAGTTGTCGATGGTGCTGATGTCTTACTTGAAGTTCTTGATGCTCGTGATCCAATTGGCTGCAGATCAAAGAAACTCGAAGATTATATTTTAAAGAGAGGCAAACGCATTGTTTTGATCTTAAACAAGGCGGATCTTGTTCCACTTGAAATTTTAAACAAGTGGTTAGTGTTTTTACGTCGTGAATTCCCAACAATTCCATTCAAATCATCATCTCAGCCGAATAAATCAGTAGAAGTCCACTGCACGATGGCAAATACAAGGTACCGATGTTTTCGGTATCAAAGAGCTCATTAAGCTCCTTAACCAACTTGCAATGGGTTCATCCATTGTTGCTGGCGTTTTCGGACCACCAAACGTTGGCAAATCCTCTGTTATCAACAGTATCTCACGTCGTGCTGCTACAGGTGTTGCTTCTACCCCTGGTTTTACAAAAGTTATCCAAGAAGTCAGAAGTTACAGCCAGAATCAGGATTCTCGACTGCCCCGGTGTTGTTCCTTCCAGCGGTGCAGAGATTACTCCGTCCATGGTTCTTCGTAACTCCATCAAAATTGAATTATTTAAAAATATAAATAAGAGGATAAATTGATTGAGATATTAACTAGTAAATATTTGAAAAAGTAAATTATTTGAAATCCTTTAAAAAGGCGTCAAAAATTTTCTCACTGGGTTTTCGTCTATCAATCCCAGCTCATTATATACGCAACCAATCAAAAATCTGATATGGGAGTCCAAGGCTAACTTTTTGTTGTCTACTTAATAAAAGAGGAAGCAGCATTAGTGAGAATAATCGCAAATATTCAATTTAAATTATCTTTTTATTTTTAATTTAAAGTGACAAAAAGAATAAAAAACCTATTCTAAGGCATGTTGTTATGTAAATGAGACTAGACATCATATTTTATGTTATGAAAAAAAAATATTTAGAATTTTAGAACAAAATAAATAGAAAAAATAGCATAACTTATGGATGTGCGTATATTAAATTTAATAAATTAAGAGAAATTATTTTTGGCGCCAAAATTATTCGTTAACTCTCAAATTTTTCTGAGTCAATAAGCCGTCAAAAAAGTGTCATTTTGTTTCGTTAGAGAAAGATGAATTGTCCATGTCATCCAATCGGGAACAAGGGGGATGGGGATTAGATGATAAAGAAGCAATTCATGCTCTCTATCTGAAGCAATCAGACTTACCAGCAACAATGTGAATCGATTTGGCTTTAAAGTTAATATAGCAGATCAGCTTGTTACTGGAGAGACTAGACATTACGATTGATTCGCTGTAGTGTACTTTAATTTAAGAGTAGTAACGGATAACTGAATTCCCAAAATTCTTTAGGTGATCCAAAACACTGTAGCTGCTTGAATTTGGACGAGCCTCGCACCCCAGAGAATGAAATCCCAATCTTGCTCATGTTTAGTTGAATTAGTCTGCAGCAGTACAGCTCTGATACCACAAGATCGTGATGTATACAAAGTCACAACGCTATTTGATTCAACAACTAGCTAGTTTTGACATCAAATTGCAAAATTTGACTTCGTTATGAGCTCTTTGTAGCAAAAATACATTACACTTAAAGACTAGTTGCTAGACTGTAGTAGTTTGTTCGTATATATCTATTTTTCCCAACGTATTGCATACTACATTTTGACAAGACTTGCAACCTTATAGTAACCTCGTTGGGAATTGTTCAAGCAAAGCGTAGGTAGTTAAGGTCGAGTAAGAGTTCTTCTTAAATCTTTCACTGAATGAGTAGGTGTTGGAAGAACTGTTCTCTAAAGCGATACAGTTGCGCTACATGTTCGTCAACTTGTCTAGAAATAAATATATCATTTGTTTTATACGTTTTTTCGTAATAAATCTATTTGTATTTGTTGTATTTGAGTATGAAGATAACAAAAACTACGGCATAAGACGCAGTACACTGGGCTTCGTTGCCATTTTATTTACCATGTTAAGAATAAACTTAACAGACATGCTTTGTTTTCGACGAAGCCATCTAAAATAACGTACATCTAAATAAAACTAAAAAACTGTAAAATTTCTTTATTTGATAGTATACAAAAAAAAAAAAAAAAAAAAAAAAAAAAAAAAAGGTAGTGGGGCTTCCAGGCACTTCGTGCCTTCTAGCCCTGAAGATGTTTAGTATAAATGAAGTCTTAGAGGACAAACATGACTATGAGTTTTGATATGACAAGATAGAATATGAGAGAGGTCCTATAAACCGGAGAAAGTGTTATATAAACATCTGTCATATTACTCAGAATATTATACAGAATTCAATAAAAATATATTTTAGGTGAAGAGGTGAGATTTCACCTGTTTTTTCACCTCATTTTTCACCTCTTGAATTTTCATGAATTTCATCGTAAAGACTTTGTCAAGATTTCATCGTAAAGACTTTGTCAAGATTTCATCGTAAAGACTTTGTCAAAACTTCATCGTAAAGACTTTGTCAAAACTTCATCGTAAAGACTTTGTCAAAACTTCATCGTAAAGACTTTGTCAAGATTTCTTCGTAAAGACTTTGTCAAGATTTCTTCGTAAAGACTTTGTCAAAACTTCATCGTAATGAGCGTAAATCAGACAAAAATATAGGGTGTCCAAAGGTGCGTTTAGCACAGCGCTCTATATGAGACTATTAAAGGAGATATATGCTGATTATAAATATATAATAAAAAATATGAATATATGTATATGATGAGTATGTTGTATTTTGGCGCCATGCCGGGATATAAAATGAATTTTGAGACAAGAGGCGGTTTCGCGGGAAATTTTGGCGGGATTTTTTTCATTTTTTTAATGAATCATAAAGAAAACATCCTCGCTCTTGCAAAAAAATGCAAAGACTGTAAAAAAATCTACGAAACATTGGTAAAATGCTTCGGTATGGATGCTCCTAGCTATTCCACTGTAACGTATCATGTTAGGATGTATCACTTCATGAACAAAAAGGCGCTCATCATAAAAATTGACAAAAAATCGCCGGATCAAAGAAAAATCAAAGCAATTCTTCAAGCGCTAGATGAAGACCCAAGAGCATCACTCAGAAGGATAGAGGAGATGACAAAGATACCACATACAACAGTCAGTTATTATTTGCACAATTATTTGAACTACAAACTAGCGTATACACGTTGGGTTCCGCACAACCTTAATTCAGTTCAAAAAAATCTAGAGTCCAATCTTCGAAAGAGCTCCTCTCTATATTGGGTGCGTATCAATCCAAGAAGTTTGCTTTTTGATAACAGGGGATGAGTCTTGGTTTCAATATGCAACAGAAGCCAAAATCATGTGGATCCCGAAGGATGAAAATCCGCAAACATTCCCGAAGAAAAAAATTGACACACCAATGATGATGTTGTCGTTTTTTTGGGGCGTGAATGGCACCATCGCAATTGATATTCTTCAAAAACCTAATACGATGAATGCTCAGTATCTAATTGACAATGTTCTTACTCAAATTATCAATTCTGATGAGTTTGAGAAATCCAAACAACAAAAACAAAAGTTTGCAATTCATTTTGATAATTCAAGAGTTCACAAAAGTCATAAGGTAATGAATTACTTGGTGGAAAACAATGTCAAAGTTGTTCCAAACCCAATTTATTCACCTGATATTGCACCCTCTGACTTTTATTTATTCGGCACGCTAAAAAAGAGAGCTGAATGACGCGAATTCGCGAGTCCAGATGATCTTGAAAATTTTGTAAGAGAGCAATTTGAGCAATTTTCTCATGATGATTTAAAGCGTGTCTTTGAAGCCTGGATCGATCGCTGCGAACGCGTGATTGAATCCAATGGTGATTATATTTAAATAAACTTTATATATATGTAACTTGTTTATTTCTATTTGCAGTATTCAGGTTTGTGCTAAACACACCTTTGGACACCCTATATATTTTAGGGTAGAAGGGTATATCTACCCCGTTTTCTACCCTCTTTTCTACCCCATATGTACTTACTGAAAAAGTATGTGTTCCATCTGTCATTTTACTCAGAATTTTACACCAAAAATAATGTTTAGGTGAAGAGGTGAGATTTCACCTGTTTTTTCACCTAATTTTTCACCTCGTGAATTTTCATGAATTTTACACCAAAAATAATGTTTAGGTGAAGAGGTGAGATTTCACCTGTTTTTTCACCTCTTTTCTCACCTCTTGAATTTTCATGAAATTTACACCAAAAATAATGTTTAGGTGAAGAGGTGAGATTTCACCTGTTTTTTCACCTAATTTTTCACCCTCTTGAATTTTCATGAAATTTACACCAAAAATATACTACTAGGGTCATTTACGAAGAAATCTCAACAAAGTCTTTACGATGAAATCTTGACAAAGTCTTTACGAAGAAATCTCAACAAAGTCTTTACGAAGAAATCTCAACAAAACATAGACAAGAAAGTTCATGAGAAATTAGATGAAGAAGTCTTAACAAAGTCTTTACGAAGAAATTCATGAAAATTCAGGAGGTGAGAAATGAGGTGAAAAAAGAGGTGAAATCTCACCTCTTCACCTAAAATATATTTTTGGGTCATTTACGAAGAAATCTCAACAAAGTCTTTACGAAGAAATCTCAACAAAGTCTTTACGAAGAAGTCACAATAAAGTCTTTACGAAGAAGTCACAATAAACATCTGTCAAAAACCGCTTTTTAACTTCACTTAAAATGCCACGTAAGCTACGTAAGAATATACGTAAGAGGAAGAGAGCATTGAAACATCCAATAGTAAAACTGACACCACAACAACAGTTGCAACAACAAATTATGAATGACCCCACTATGTTGCAACAAATGTCAAGCAACCCTATGCTTTTAAACCGAGTTGTTGGTGCACAGAGTGGAGGTTTAAGAGCGGCACTTTTAGCGAAAATGGCAGGCTATGGTGGAGCTGCAGACGGAACAGCCTATAACCCTCAAAGTCAAATGAATTTGAGTTCACTCAAAAATCAAATAACAGATGTCAAAAAGTCAAACATAGACATACAGAAGCAAATAAGTGAAAACGAAAAGAAACTAGAATATGACAGACACACAAAGAAACTCAATGAGTTAAACGTAGAGAAAAAGAAGAAAGAAGAACAACTGAAAGAACTAAGTACAGAGGAATATGCGAAAAAAGTGTCAGAAAAAGCAGCAGAAGTAGCAAAAATGGAACAAGATGTTATAAATTTGAAAAACCATACTACTCAATATAAAGTACTGAAAGATGAAGAGATAAAACAAAAAGCCCTGAAGACATATATGGATAGCGATGAGTATAAAAAAGAAGTTGAAGCAAATGTAAAGGCAGAAAAACTTTTACAGTTGCAAAACCAAACCGTACAGTATGAAAACTTAGCACAAGAAAGTAAAAATAACGACGCAGCCATGCAAAAGGCAATGAAAAGCGCAGAATATATAAAAGCTAACAATGACTGGTTAGATGCCCAAGCCAACGCTAAAGCAGCCCAACTCATAGGGTCAATAAGGACAAAAATACAAGCGGATGAAGATAGTTCAAATGAAGCTTTAAACAAATGCTGACTTTAAGAACGCTTTCGAAGCTCTTCATAGTAAGGTGAAACAAGTGAACGACTTCTCATCTGGAAAGAAACTGAAGTCTGAAGGTTTCGACAAAGAGTTAAAAGAAGTAGCACAAAATATGACGAAAATAACAGATGCAGCAACGAGACAGGCAGTTCAAAGTGCCTATGACGCCGTTAGAGCAACTGTTGTGAAAAGTCAAGAAAAAGAGTTACAACAGACCAAAACAGACCTAGTAAATGCTTTCTTAAGAACGAAAAGTCAGGTAGGACATTACGCTGCAGATGGAACATATGTGCCAGCTGGTGGAACTTATATACCACCAAACCCTCCAAGAGAAGCACCTGCACCAGGACTACCTAGAACATTTACATCGTCACATGGACACAGACACAGGCATGCACCAAAACCAACACAACAACCACCTCCACAACCAGCACAACAACCACCTCCACAACCAACAGTTCAAAACACTGCACCACAACAACCACAACCAGAGCAAGGACATAAAAGAAGTAGAGAACAAGGAAACCAAGAATTCTTAAAAATGCTTAAAGAAGAGTGTGGTTTCCCAGATAGTATTGACTTTAGTGACAGATATAAAGAAGCTATTGGAAAGTTCAAGGATGGAAATACTGACCCGAACCTATTTAGCTTTATGGCTCAGCACCAAAACGGATATAATCTCAAACCTGGAAAATACAAGCTCGCTAAGGGATATGATTTAATAGCATATCATCCAAATGACATGAACGAATTTACTCCGAGATATTTGATGTCAGAGCTAAATGACAATTCAACTTTCGTCATGAAACGCGTAAAAAATAGAGACGGAACGAAAGAACAAAAGCTTATGAATGCGGATGACGTAGATAGGGAAATTGTTGAAAACGGTCTCGGAATATATGAAATGCCAGCAGATGAGGTACAAGAAACTCCACAGGAAGAAGTTCAGATACAACCAGACATGGAAGAAATAGTTCAGCAACAACAGCTAGAAGAGCCTGAAGGAAACGAACAAGTCCTTCCTTTGGAAACTAACTTCACAGAACTAGATGAAGATTTGGAACAGCCGAAAAATCTTGACCCTCAACAAGAGCATGAGGTGAATATGGAATATTTCCAAGAGTCTAAAAAAATTCGGCTGACATAGTAGAAGAATATCGAAAAATGTTTGCCGACATACAAAAGACTCCAACACCAGATGAAAATATTCAGCATAGAATGGAAGTACTGAAAAAAATGTACACAAATACAACAACCCTTTTTACTTACGAGCATTTAACGTTCAATCTTCGGATGAACTCGGTGAAAATAAAGGTTAAATTTCAAGAAAACATATAGAAATGAAACATTGTTTAAAGTTCATTCAGAACCTAACCAAGATGGAAACAAACCACTTTTGTTTCTGCAGACGATGGAACTACAATGAGATGGGGTCATAAAGCTAATTCGGATAGGTGGTTCATAAACTTACAACCACAATTCCAAGAAGTGTAGACGCAATGGAAGTCAATGGTGACGAGATAGTATAGCTGGTATTTTAAGCGCGGCTTTAATGCCATTGAAAGATATGAAAGATGCAGATATTTTGAACCAGTATGAAATGAACATGGCTGATGGAAATATAACACCTGACGTTCTAGAACATTTATCTCAAAGAACTACACAGAACCATAGAGATGGTATATTTGGTGAAGAGTTTAGAAAGAAAGTTAGGGAGAGCGAAGGAAGAGAACCTATTGTACATGACCTTGCAAACGAAAGTTTACAAAATGTCATAAAAACTTACTTTGCAACAATGAACCGAGAAGGGATGAATATTTAAAAAAACTCAAATGGACAGTACCAAATGAAATGTTTAGTATGAAAAACATGTTCCTTGACAAATTAAAACCAACTACAGAAATAAATGACGCAAGACTAAAACATTGGGTAGAAGCTTTCCCATTCACAAAAGATATTGTTGGTAACATGGAAAGAAAACCAGAATGGCTACAAAAACATATATTTGGAAACGAGCTTATTCCATATGGACAGGCACTGTTTGAAGAGCTTGAACCAGAAACTCAGGAAAGAGTCATGCAAACAATACGCGACGACTCAAATACAAACTATGACAAACTCTTTCTAGGATATAGGTTACCTGAGATGGGCGACCAGAGCCAAAAGGCAAAAAGGACATGGGAAATTTGCAACATACTAGATGAACATAATGCAAAGATGCAACAACTTCAAGCAGAGGGCAATGAAGGAAAAAGAAGAGTTAAAAACTCAGTCAGGAAGAAAGTAAAGCTTGGTCCACGTGGGTTCTATTATGACATATAATCCACTATTCTATATTTTTACTCATATGAAATGTACGCCGCTCAGAATATAACGCCAACAGTTTTGGATGCCATGAACGGAAATGTTTCCGAATGGTATAACGAATGCGACAATGCATTAGAAGGTCAGAAATAGTTCCTGGAACTTACGAATATACAACTGCTGTTTCTTATGGAAACGTAGGTGAGTTTGGAGAAGGTTCTTCAACAACAGTAGATATTGCTTGCGACAGGTTTCATATTATTTCTATTGACAACTCTTTCTTATACGTGGAACAAGACATTGAAATAAAACCTTCTGCCAAGTTGTCTGACAAAAAGGTTGCAATGAATTTTCTATGTCGGATACCAATATGCTCCAGAAGTTTTATGGGATATAAGATATATTCTAACTCTGACTTAGTTCAAACAGTAACATGGGCAAACTATGAATGGTTCGCTTTGAGAAACTCAGTACAACCACAAGCTAGAGAACAAACAGACCAGTATGCAACTATTGAGAAAATAAGAAGACTTGACCCTAACGTTCCAGGAGTTTATGTTAACCTTTCTGGACAAACTGCAGCAGCAGTAACCAAAGTAAAACTGAAACTTAGAGTTCCTTTGTCATCTTTCCTCATCTTCAGGTTTTTAAGATACTTGCCAAACTGGGCAGGAAAAATTTCTATCGAACTTACTCCAAGCAAAAATAACTTAGTCATTGCACCAACACAAGACCCATTCACTCTTACAGAAGTAGTGGGAACAAATAAAATGTCATTCGCGACTTTTGCAAAAACAAAGTTGACTTAGACTTTGGTTTCTCAAACCTCAACACTGAAGTAAACTATTATTTCAAATGCTGCGGAGATGCTTGGGACCCAGTTAAGTTCACATGCGAAAAATTTGAATGCAAGAGAATAGAAAGCAGACTTGCAGTCTATATGTTGGACCCAGATATTTCAAATGCTTTAGCTGCCAAATATATTGCAGTTCCACTTATGTTCCCTATACACCAAATATCTGTCAAAGACTTTGCAGGTGAAGTTGGAAACCAAAGTGCTGACCCAGGTGCAAGAACAGATATTGCTTTAACAACTGCAATGAAACATGCAGATACTATGTTTGTACTGTTCAGACGAACTATAAATGACTATATCTTGCTTCTACAACCCTGGTATTAAAATACCATATAAACATAGATGGCAAATATTATCCAAGAGAAGAATATTCTACAGTTGAGGATATGAGGTCATACAACTTGACATTAGATGCTATGAACTTTAACAAACAACTTCACAACAACCATTAACCCTGAAATGCAAAGTTCTATTATGCCATATGTGAAAGTATGGACCATACAGGAAGTCAAAACTCATATACAAATGGAGACCGTTCAAACTTTTGGCTTGGCATTCCATTTGCTGACTCAGAAGACTTTATGGTGGTATTTCAACTGTTGGTACAGTTCAAATACAATATACTGGTGACAGAGACGGTCAGATGAATTGAAAGCAAAGAAGTTTACAAAACCAATAGCACTTTTCACGGAAGATGCTCTTTTGAAAATTCGTTCGATGAAACCTGCTGGGCTCCTCAGATGGTATAACGACAGCTTCCATCGAGCAGTTTTGGCAGCAGGTCAGTAAGTTGTTCTTGAACTGACTTCTCTCCGTCAAATATTGACAGTACGCCAGTTTTGACATAAAATTGTATTATAAACTTACCTTTAGAAATATCTGTAAGTTTTGTTGTTATATTTTTGTCTGCTTCAAGAACTTTCACCATTTCAGTTATACCAACTTCTTTTGCTTTATGAAAATATTTTGGTTCAGCAAAGACTGCTATTCTATAACATTTTCCATTGTTTGTGTAAAGAACTACTCTGTCAATGAACTTGTTATGTTTGTGTGTGTAAACTTTGTTTTGCTTCAATTCGAAGAGATACTCAAATACGTCCATCTTTTTATTCTAAGTAAAATGTCATTTCCTAAAAATAGAAGCGTGAGTGTTTCAAAAGGTTTAATGGCGGTGGCAGATGTGAAGTTAATTCACCAACTCAAACAAACAGTCAAAGTGTTGTTGTCAATGTCAAAGACAGAGATGTTGAAGTGGGGAAACCATACGAAGACGAAGATGGTATAACAATAGTTCCTGTAAAGAACAACCAACATATCCTGAAGTTAGCAGAGACTTAAGTTCTGTTGCAGATATTCGAAACGACTACCAACAACTTAAAGACAAACTTAAAACTCAGGAGAAGATTTGTCAAGCTTTGGGTATAATGTTAAACTTGGTCGAACACAACCCTGTAAAAGTGAACTCATATGTCATCGCACCTCATGAAATTTGAAAGAACTTATTGAAACTTTTGACAGAGGCAGACGAATATAAACACATTAAAGAAATAGAAAATTTTCATCTCCATCACCATTCAATTTGGAATCTCATTTTTAAAATATCTTAATATAATCAGAATTTTATTAGTAGGTTAAAATATTTGCGAATATTAATTATTAGGATCAAAGCTTTCATACGATTACATTAATTTTTTTAATCGAAATTCTATTTCATTACTACTCAATTTTAAATCATAGCAGCATTAATAGCTCATCTACTTATATTCCATCATAATGTTATTTTATTCAATTTTTATATATCTGATTTTCATATTTTTTCAAATTCTGTCGCAAAATCTTTAAAATTGTTATATTTCCTTACAACACGGTTAATATAGTATTCTCCTTAACTTGTTTAAATGCAATTTTGCAATATTTGGAAATGATCAAAATATCCTAATGTAAACGTTTGCTCTTAGAATTCAGTGTCATAGTCGATTGTTTCTAACAAATTAATCTTTTTTGCATTGATTTTCGAAGTATTGCATTTTCATTACGGCCAAATCTGCTCTCTTTCATTAGATTGATAGCTCATAATAGTTCTTGTAATCAGAGAGGAAAGATCTTACGAAATATACCTCTAAATTTTCACTTTATAGATAAATGTTATATTTTTTCGTTACTCGATTATTGTCCAATAAAACCACAATCATATTAAACTTTGTCCAAAATAAACAATAAAGAATAGTTTTTAAGTTTCTTAAACGGTTTATGAAGGTTCATATTTAATTGATTTTTTTATTTTCAATTCATGTATCTATGGTTCGTTAGTCTATCATCCCTTCATAAATTATCTGCAAAGAATTTTGTAGAATCTCAACTCTGTGAGGAACTACAATAAATTGAAAAGTCATTTTGTGATATCAAAATCCAATATATTATTCTTTCTAATACATATTAATAATATCTTGAGATGTAGTACACTATATATATACTTTCAAAAATCTTATATGTTTATTAGTTATTGAGATAGAAGCGATTTAATTCTTTGAAAATCGACGAAAAGTGCCATATTCATAAAATTATAGGGTAATTCAAAATTGAATTCATTGGGATTTCTCTCAAAATTCATTTCCCTGAAATTTTGTTTTTATTGTCAATAATTTGTTGTGACATTCATTTCCTATACGGTGTAGAAATAAAAATAAATCCGATTTTGTAAAGAGAAAAAAAAATAGTTTCAAAAAAAAAATTATCATTATATGGAGCATACTTTTGATACATTATGCGATGCAATTTCGTTTGCCTTTCGCCAAGAGCAAACTTCATTGCTAAGTCTAGACAAGATATGTGAAGTACTATCAAAACCAGATTTATTTGTCAATTCAAAAACCCAAGGAATTATACCAACCTCAACAATTGCTCGGAGACGTATTTCTAGTACCTTATCAAGTTCAGATTTATTTGTACGTGCAGGTCCACCCAGAACTTGCCTCTGGGCTATTCGTCCTAACAATCCAACCTTCATTAGTGACGGTGCGATAGCAGCATCAATAGAGCAGATGCTTACAACGAATGGTCCCATGACAACCGAACAGTTTGTCGAAACGACCGATTTAACCGGAGCACATAAACCTTTATTTGATCGATTTTTAGCAGAACATCAAGACGAATTTGCTCAACATGAAAACGGAACATGGTGGTTTATTAATCAGCCACTGCCATTACGAAAAGAATTCGACAATTTATGTCATGCAATTTTATCTGCTTTTGAACCATTTCAAGAGGGAGCAACAGTAGAAGAAATACATCGATACTTATGTCTTTCCAGCGTCGGAGGAAAGCTAATTACACGACGTTCAATTTCGAGAGAATTATCACGACGAACAGACGTATTTTTACATTTATCTAGAGCAAAATACGGCATATTGCCATCACGGCGTACATTTCCGAGCCACAATCCTCAAACTTTCCCACAATTTAATTCATATGTACCTCCACCGCCTCCGCCACCTCCGCAGAGGAACTTCATTCCAATGCCCCAAATATTAGGAATAAATGGAGGCCAGCAGGACATATTCCCGATCGAAATTCCGAAAATTGATGACGATAATGATGATCAAAACGGCGGAGATCCAGAACAAAAGTCAATGTTTGATGACCCGATTCGGTTCCATCATGAAGATGAGTTTGATCCAGATTCATTTTTCGGAGCTGAATTTAATTTCGAAATTTGAAAAAAAAAATTTTTTTCTTCTTCTTTCATTTCAATAAAATGTGTTTTAAACTTTTTTTGTTAATTTTACAATAATTTTTTTGTTTATTTAGCAAGTAAATCTAAAGATACTGTGAGAGGGTGCCGAAGTCAAACATTCCCTTCTCATCGAATCTGCGTAAGATTGTCAAAACAAATTGAGGCTCTATACGAGCAGAATCTAATATTTCTTGAGCGTATTGTACTGGAATGAAGCCCTTTCCTCTGTCATCTCTTGCTTGGAAGGCCTTCTTAAGATTTGCGGCTTTTCCTGTCTCCTTAACATAATCAATAGCATTATTAAGATCGCACATTGGGAATAAATCGCAGTGAAGTTCCATAAATTCAAGTGTTGCTTGTGATGCGTCTGTAAGATAGAATTTACGTCCAAGAGCTGTAATTGTGGAGCCAACATAGAAATCTTTGGGCTCGTATGGTCCTTGGACTGCTGGATTTGTGATTTTACCGCGTGAATAGTATGGGTGTGCTTGTGAAGTGCATGGAGATCTGCCTTCTTGGATAGAAATTTCTTTTGTATTCACAAAATATGTAAGGAGGAAAATGCGCTGCTTATCTTCCTGATTTGGGGTGATGAGCTTAGACTGAAATGTCACCTTCGCTTCTCTGTCCATCCTTTGTATAAACCGTCACTTTACAATTAAATTTTAAACATCCAATAATTTATTCAACTTCGAGTTTTGCAGTGGTATATTTGATTTCTGATGTAGAATAGGATTTTCGGATTTTCAAAGTTTTATTTGAGTATCAGAAATTTATTGGATATGAATTTGGAAAAGTTTATGGTCACGTAGGGATAAATTGAGGCAAATGTTGGTGATCTCCATGATTTCCAGGAGAATATGGTAGAGTTCGTCAATATTTAGTAAGATAGAGATGACTTTTTTTTTTTGAAGATTTAGTAATCGTTTTGATATCATAAATTATCTCAAAGCATATCATCACCAAAGTTCAGGAGATCATAAATGAGCTTTATGAGTTGTTGTCTTATTAAATGCAATGTTTAAATTAGTTATTATGATGATCAAATCAATAAATTAATTCGATGAAAATATTTTTATAAATAAGATGTATTTGAAATATATCAAGAGCTTTTTTAAGACACAAAGATTCCTGGTTAGGATCTTGCATACCGCCTCAATTATTTTGGTCAACAAGAGCAATCTTAACAAAGGGTATTAAAAAAAATGACGGAAGGTAAATATCTCACAATACTGAATATTTGCTTAAGCATGATGAAAAGCAGCTTGGGGTGAACCTTTAATTTATGGTAAACCATTATATTAAATTTTCGCCTATCTATTTTAATTGTAATATTGGAGAAACTGCTCTTTAAAATGCAACAAATAAAACTATAAATTTAGATTGTAATTAGAGAATGCAATAATGAATAATTTATGTGCAAGTTTAATTTGAGGTAATTTAGATAGAGCTATATTTCTTGTTTTTATATTACATGTTTCCTAAATTATGCTCAATAGTGTGTATCTTTAACAGATTTATCAGTTATTTTTAATGTAACTCTTTTGAATTAAGGAAAATTAAAACAAAAGATAGAAGTGTAGAAGTATTTTGACATAAAATATGAATTTTTAGTTGGAGTAACGTATTTCAAATCATTTAATTATATTCTCTACGCTCAAGATCCCTTTAATAAAATTATATTTATTAAATATCAGCAAATGTAATATAGAAGTCAATACTCGATTAGAAAAGCAATGGTTCAGTGATTTCGATTATTTATGCATGAAATAAGTAACTTGGAGTAATCAAATTAATATTTCACAGGAAAGATATACATTTTCGACGTTACAAGTTGTTTATTTAATCAAAAAAAGCCTTAAGACTAATTGTTTGATGTGAGTTTCGATCAAAATAATATTTTGATAATTTTCATGGATATTAGTTGCATAACTGATCAATATTAGTATCTTTTGATAGTTTAAGAAAGATTAGTAGATGCAATTAAGCATAATTGAGTGAACAAACATTTTCATTTTTATATTGGGTAGTAATAGAAGGACATTTGCATATATATGAATCAGATGCAAAAATATAGTATGAATTAAGCACGTTTGATATTCTTTGGCTGGTGATCGTAAACGCGAAATTTGCTGAAGAACGTAAATGCATGAATTTTCATTTTGAAAATCTTTGTGCATATTGTTTAGTTCAAACTACCGAATTAATGCCTTCAAACATCAGCTTAAAATTTTTATGCAATGATTTCTTACCTTAGAACATTTAAACTGATTCCACGTAATTCGCATTTTATAGAAAAGTAGGATTATAAACAATTTAGCACGTTGTTATTGATAAATTATCACGTATTCCATCAAACAATATAATTACTGGCTTATTTTTATGTATTTTTTCAGCCATTTTGAAGAAATAGGTTTGTTATATCGCAATTGACATGAATGAATGAAAATAAGTGTGTGTTTTATTTTAAAATATGACCAAAAATTTTCCCAAATTTTATTCATTCTCAAATTCGATCATCTTTCTCAATTGATTGGCGACCTATTAATTAATAATATTGTTAATCAATAGTATTATTAAAATTGCTTTATTCTTTTCTGAAAATAATTTATCCACTCACAATTTATCAAATTTTAGATTTTAAATGTGTAATAAAAGTCTGTAATATCAGGGTCGATACCTTTTATAATTGAGAGGATATATTTATCAATTGAAAGAAATTAATGGCCAATGATCGAAGGATTTGAGAGGTTTTTATTTAATTTCAATAAATTCCCGGATTATCCTTTACAGTCAAAGCATATTAATAAAATATACAAGATTGGAGAAGGGAATAAAATTAATTGAATTCATTGAAAACTATCGATTGATCGTTCTCAAATATCCTTGACAAGGTTTTTTATTAAAAATAAAGACATGACAACACAGTTGATTCCAAAAAGAACCAAGATCGTCGCAACAATCGGCCCAGCCAGTGACTCATTAGAGGTCCTCGAGCAGCTTGCTAGAGCCGGCGTTAACGTCTTCAGATTAAATTTCTCCCACAGTACTCATGAATACCACAAGCAAACACTCGACAGAATCAGAGAAGTCGAGAAGAAGGTTGGTTTCAAGATTGGCGTCCTTCAAGACATCTGCGGTCCAAAGATTCGTGTTGGCAAGTTGGAGAACCCATTTGAACTCCACTCCGGCGATAAGATCATTGTCAGAAGAGATGAGATCGTCGGCAAGAAGATCGAAGATCATGTCTACGAGCTTTCCATCAATCATCCACAGATCTGTGACTTAATCAAGGTTGATGAGTATATCTATCTCATTGATGGTGCCATCAGAGCCAAAGTTACAAGTGTCTGCAAGGACCATATCGAAACAGTCATCGAGAACGATGGCATTTTATATTCCAACAAGGGCGTCAACTTCCCGAACACAAAGCTCAACATCGATGTTATCACACCAAAGGATAAGCTCGATATCGAGTGGGGCGCTAAGAATGATGTTGATTTCGTCGCTATCAGCTTCGTTCAGCACAAGCAGGACGTTTTGAACGCTAAGAGTCTCATTAAGCAGTACGGTGGACACGGAAAGGTCTATTCCAAGATCGAAAAGTTCGACGCCATCGAAAATATCGATGAAATTATCGAAGCTTCCGATGGTATCATGGTCGCTCGTGGTGATCTTGGTATTGAGATCCCATTCTACCAGGTTCCAGCCTGCCAGAAGAAGATCATCCACAAGGCCAACGAATTATGCAAGCCAGTCATCACAGCTACACAAATGATGCTTTCCATGGTCAAGAACGATATGGCTACACGTGCTGAAATCAGTGATGTCGCAAACGCCGTTCTTGATGGTACAGATGCTGTTATGCTTTCTGAAGAAACAGCTGTCGGTGATCACCCAGCTGCTGTCGTCAAGGCCATGGCTGAGACAATCCACGAAATAGAAAAGATCTATCCATACGGCAAATACGATGAATTCAAGTTCGCAGATGAGACAGAAATGGTTTCTAGCTCAACAGCAAGACTTGCTACAAGAATTGGTGTTAAGGCTATCATTTCTCTTACAGCTTCAGGCCAATCTGCCGTTAAGATTGCTAGAAACCGTCCAGAATGTGATATCTTAGCTGTTACACATACAGACCAGATCGCTAGAGTTCTTACAATGGTTTGGGGTGTTACACCAGTCCTTCTTATCAAGGCTGATCGCTTGAACTTGATGCTTGCAAGCACAATCAAGGGACTTCTTCAGAATAAGTCAATCGCCGATAATCATACATACATTATGACTGCTGGTTATCCAACAGGTTTCGTTGGCAGCCTTAACTACGTTAGAATTCTTAGAAAGGAGCAGATCGAGTACTATTCTAATGTTCAGAATAAGGATCTCAAGTAAACAAAGCGTAAATAAATTTTATCTTTTCAAATCTACTTAAGTTTTTTGTTTTTAATTCATTTGACTGAGAAATTCCAAAAATTATTTCTTTTTACGAACATTCACCGTTGAAAAATAACTGACATATTGTATACTATCTATAATTGAAACAATACAAAAGAATAATGGATCCTTTCGCTAAAATTATTATGTTCAATTGTGATGAGGGTTGATCTAATGATACATATAAATTTACGTACTTTCATGATGATTCCCCTTATTATTTTTTGATTTTGTCTTGTTTTTAAAATAATTTTATCAAAATTCAAGATAATTGTTTTTGGCATAGTTATTATTTGAATTTATATGAGTAATATATAGTAATTTCATTAATAAATCCTAAAAATAACATGAAAAAACAAAGAATTTTCTTCAAATTTCCATGAAAATATCCAAAATATAATCAATATCACAATTCAAATCTATTTGCATCAAAATCTGCAGAACCACACTCAGAGACAAAAATTTTTGACAAAATCTCTCTAAAAAACAAAAGTTATGAAGCGCACAAACAAAAATGACAAATTAAAGCATAATAAGGGTGGTCAGGTTAAGAAGTTAAGAAAGGAGCCAGACTATAAGTCTCTTCAGAGAGCGAAAGATGCTTTAGCGAAGTCTGCAATGAACAGAAAGAAAGAAATCGCCAAGCACAATGCAGAAGAACGTTACGCAGAAGTTTCTCAAGGCTTAAATGCTCCAGAAGCTCCTATTATTGAACAAAGTGCCGCTCATGAAGCTTATAGAACCACATATTTCGCTCAATTCAAGAAAGTTGTCGATGGTGCTGATGTCTTACTTGAAGTTCTTGATGCTCGTGATCCAATTGGCTGCAGATCAAAGAAACTCGAAGATTATATTTTAAAGAGAGGCAAACGCATTGTTTTGATCTTAAACAAGGCGGATCTTGTTCCACTTGAAATTTTAAACAAGTGGTTAGTGTTTTTACGTCGTGAATTCCCAACAATTCCATTCAAATCATCATCTCAGCCGAATAAATCAGTAGAAGTCCCACTGCACGATGGCAAATACAAAGGTACCGATGTTTTCGGTATCAAAGAGCTCATTAAGCTCCTTAACCAACTTGCAATGGGTTCATCCATTGTTGCTGGCGTTTTCGGACCACCAAACGTTGGCAAATCCTCTGTTATCAACAGTATCTCACGTCGTGCTGCTACAGGTGTTGCTTCTACCCCTGGTTTTACAAAAGTTATGCAAGAAGTCGAAGTTACAGCCAGAATCAGGATTCTCGACTGCCCCGGTGTTGTTCCTTCCAGCGGTGCAGAGATTACTCCGTCCATGGTTCTTCGTAACTCCATCAAAATTGAATTATTGGATGATCCAGTGGCTCCTGTTTCATATATCCTCGACAAAGTACCAAAAGAGCAATTAGTTGAAGAATACGGTATCGAATCCTACGGAACTGCCGAAGATTTCCTTTCCCAATTAGCCGTCAAACGCGGAAAAATACAAAAAGGCGGAGAACCGGACATAAACGGCACCGCGAGGACAATTTTAGACGACTGGAACCACGGCAGGATCAAGTACTACACTGTTCCTCCTGAAGTTGACGACACACACGTTTCTAAGATAGAATTGGTCGACCAAGACGGAACAAGCTACAACATGGGCAAAGTTATTAACTACACAGAGGAAGATTTCAAGAATTTCCAGATACAACACGTGTTCCAGGTCATTCCGAAGAAGGAGGCTGAAGCAGAGAAAGAAGAAAATAGTGAAGATGAAGACGAGGAGAAGCCTGAGGAAACAAAAAGAAAAATGGCTGCTCCAAAAGTTGCTTTGTCTTCTGCTCAGAAAGAGGAAATGGATAGCCTCGCTCAGGAATTCACTGGTTTGTCTTTCGAAGGTTTATAAAGTTATATGATAAAGTTTATTTATTATTTTCTGATTCTTTTTAATATATATCATAACTAATTAAATAATTATTTATGAGCATCATGACTAAACTTTATATTCACTGAATGAAGAACATCATGACTAATTAAATATTTATTGAAGAATATCATTAATAAACTTTTCATTCATTGATGAAAATGATTGCTAAACTATATGCTAAATGAAGAACTTCATCACTAAACTAAATGCTCATTGCTTTATATCGTTAATAAACTATATATATAATGAATAATATCATGACTAAACTATTCATTCATTGAAGAACATCATGACTAAAATATATACTCATTGCAGAACATTATTACTTTACTATTTGTTCTATAAAGATTATCATTACTAATCTCGGTAATTAATGATGAATAGGATTACTTAGTATTATAATCTATAATGAATATCATCACTAAACAATATACTCTCTGAAGGGTACCATAACTAAACTATATACTCATTCAAGAATATAAATTTGCATGTAGTTATAATGAGTATAAAAAGCATTATAAGGAATTGCATATTGCACTGTTTGCATGAATTCACTATGATAAATATTGAAAACATTTGAACTGCCTGAGATCTGAGTGTAAAAAAAGGAAATTTATTGTTCAATTTTTAGAATTCTTACACAAAGCCAAGAGATTTAAGAAATAATGTTTGACAATATAGTCCTAAGTATCCCTTCAATATATTCATTGAATATTTAGAGTTTGATTTTGAAATTTAATAAAAAAAAATGTAAAATAATCTATTTTTCTTTTTTTTATAATTCAAATAAAAATGTTATTTTATTCTTCGAATTTAACAGGTCTAGCAGTAAGTTCATTTGATTTGAGATCTCTTGGAACCATCATATTAAGCTGATATTCGACTGGAGAGTAGCCAAATGAAGCAGTTCCGTCGTCATCATTAAATACAATGTAGGCGTAAGGATATTCTGCTGCAGTAACAGCGAAACCTGAAATAGGAGCTCCGCCGTTTTCTGGAATTTCTTTGATAAACTTCTCTTTGGCGTCTGTGCCTGCCTCGAATAAGAAGTTTGTGTTTGTAAATTTGTAGGCTGTTCTCTGTGTTTGTAATTTGGAAAGTGGAGGTTCTTCTTTAAGAAGATAAGCTCTGCCTGGTGGAATATTATCCTTGAAGGCTCTCTTCAAGTTCTCTTGGATTTCTTCATCGTAATTATCACTTGTGATGATTTCACCTCTTCTGTAAGAAGAAGTGACTTTCTGAGTCTGTTCTGATCTAGTTTCTACCTTAGTTGTTCTTGTATGTGGCAAGGTTTCTGTTTGCATACGTCCTGTTAATTGTGTAGAGCCTTGATGCATATATTCATTATCTTCTTGTGTATAATCATCAACAGTTGGTACTTTATTGTATACTGAAAGATCTGTGAATTCAACAGGAACACCTAAGAATGGATCTGGTGTAAGATTAGTTTTTAATTCATTATAAATCGGAGTATCCATGATTTCAAACGAAATTTCTGGGATAACGAACTTGGGTAACAATGGATCTGCAGGAAGTTCTGGTAATTGGTTGGAATACTGATAGGCTTCCATCTAAAAAAATTTATAAAAAAAATTGGTCCTAAAAGGTGACATAGCTTCTAAAACCGTTCGACTGTCACGTTTTTAGCACCTATGAGTGAAGATAATCTTAGTAAGCGTGTTTCCTTGCTGGAGAGAGTTGTTGAGAAGCTCATTGAGAAGAATAATGAAATTGCAACACTTAAGGATGAAATTAAGGAATTAAAAAACCGTTTACTTCCATATGAAATGAATACTATGACGGAAACTCAAAAGAGAGCTGAGCAAATAGAAAACGACAAATACAAACAAGCAATAAAACAGAAAACATCAAAAGAAACTAAAACTTCATCGAAATCATCTCAAAATACTGCAACTCCTGTTCCTGAGAAGCCAAGCGAGCAGGAAATAGCTGTCATTGAAACTAGGAGTATTAAAGAGCACGTTGAAAAGCCAGTAGAATCAGTAAAAGCCGAACCCGTCAAACCAGCCCCAATTAAAGAAGAAGCGCCGGTTAAAAAGTCTACAACAACTCACAAAGAGCAAAAGCCTGTTCCTAAGGTGATTTCGGATTCAGATGATGACGTTGATTTAATAGAAGAAAGAAAACCAAGTCCACGACTAACACCACCTCCTCCGCCACCACCACCAGCACAAACAAATCAACAGAAAGTTAAACAAATGACAGTACTGTCCGATTCTGATGATGATATACAATTTTAATTTATTATTAAATTATTTTGTTTGTTCCTTTATATTCTAAAATAGATTTTTCTTTTCGAATATTTTTACTTCTAATAAATGAATCAAACATTATAAAAATTAATAATTGTTATATGCTGCTTGACAAAGAACAGTGTGCCCATCATTATCTTTTGCATTGACATCAGCACCATGCGAAATAAGGGATTCTGCGATTTTGATGCAATTAAATTCGGGGTATTATTATTGTCGTCTGGCGGTTTTAGACGACAATGCGAATTTTCAAATAATAGGATTTTTAGCCAGATAAAGAGCTACTCCATATATCATGCGTGTTTGCATACTATATACATAGATGGAATTGATGTTCTTCCTTTATTTAGGTACCGAAACATGCTTGAAAAATCTATTTTTTAGACGACAATGATAATTTTGTCACTTTTCCAGACGACAATAATAATTTGTCACCTTTTTAGACGACAATAATAATTTTGTCACTTTTCCCAGACGACAATAAAACATCCTCAATTTTAATTCATTCTTTAGATGGCATCTAATAACAGACTGTTATTATTGCTTATTTTAAGCATCATTATAAAAAAAGATGAATAGAATAATACTAAATTAAATTTAAAATTAAATTGATTTGATGAGGTCTTCGGTGAGTGTACCTGATGCAGCTTTATTTGCTCTTGTAACAATAGTAACACAAAGACAAAGAATTACACTTGTAAGTACAAAAATTCCAAGTGCAACAGACAAAATTATGATAATCGTCTTAGAATTGTTTTGTTTTTGACCATCTGGTGTTGATGTTGGTATTGGAGTTGTAACTTCTGGCTTTTGAGTTGGTTCTGGAACAGGAGCTGGTGTTGGTGTTGGATCTGGATCGAATGGATTTGGCTGGCTTGCATTTTCAATCGTGTATAAACCATACTTGGTTGGAATTGTGAGACTTAGATCATCTCTAAACAAAAATGGAGCTAATGTTTCTGTATCTGGAATCTCATCATATCTAAATCTGAATTTATATATTGTTTCAGGATCTTCATCTCCATCAACGGAAGCCAATATTGAATACCAGGCTAAACTTGACATTGTTTTATTTGTATATTTTTCAAGAAAATCAGATGGTTCTTCGTCTATCTTCATACCATCCATTTTCCAGTATCTAAATGTTCTATCAAATTTAGAAATAAAAAGACCATAAGTGGAAAGTCTCTTAGATATATTGCTACCAGCTGGTTTCAAAGCGAATGATTTTAATGTGTAATCTCCTTTTGATTTTGTATCTATAACAACTTTAATGGAATACTCAATATCTCCTTCATCCGGATCATTAAATTTTCCATATGAAGATGTTATGAAATATGCTACTCTAATTGTACATGCCTTTGTTTTGTCTTTGCACTGGATTCTTGTTATCGGAAATGGTTGATTACTCATAGAATATTGTATTGCTGATTTTCCCATTGAAACAAGAGGATTTTGAATCAAATCTGAGTATACAAAGTTACTATTTTCATCTGGAAAGCCAGAAATGCCCACAATATCTGAATCAGATCCAATTAAAACATTTCCAATTAAGCATTGAGATTTTCCTGGCTTTATCCGAAAAACTGTAAAAGATCCCAGTTCAGTCTCTGAGTAATTGGCTGTATTTGATTGATCACATCCTTCCAATTTATCCGTATAATCGATTATAAGCTCATGTCTATCCCATTCATTCCCCATTGCTTTCATATTTGTTAGTTTGAAGGCAATAATGTAACTTAACATTCTTGAAAATTAAAATATTTTTATCTGAAATTAATGTCAAATCTGCCAATAATAATTTCCATGAATAATTGTATATTACACTTTTCGTATTAATCTTAATAAGAAATTGGATCTGATTGGCAAATCGATGTAAATTATTCAAATTTTGGCAAAATAATTTTTCGTATCCGCTGGTCAGATTCCTATTATTTTGGGTGATTTGGATACAATTAATCAAATATCGATTATTCTTTATGTTTAAAGTAAAATATTAAGGTTTTTTAATCTTTTTGAATTAAATTCTTGTTCTATTCGAGATTAGTTTACTTAAGCATCAGGGTCTATAAAATAGCATCCGTAATAAGCTATAAAAAGAAGAAAACAAATTATAAAAAGGAAATTTGAACATCATCCAGTTTTGGAATGAAAAGTATTTAGAAATGCAATAAATATGAGTGACTCAATTATATGTCAAGATGTCTATGCTATAAATTCAGAAAATTATTCAAATGACTCTTCATTTGAATAATATAGACTCAATCAATATTCAATTCATTAAGATTCAATATTGTTTAAATGGCATTATGCACTTTTTCAAATTTTTCCTATTTACAATTAAATATCAAAAAAATAATTAGCTATTAATCGATCATTTCTAACTAAGAAGTTATCAAAAATTCTAAAAATAGAAGTAATAAAAAGATAGCGTTTAAAACATGGTTAATAAAAAAATTTCAATTGTCTTCGTGCTTTCTAATGAGGGATTCAACATAATGTGTGAAAGCCTGAGACTCAGTGATAGCAATGGCGAAGTCCTTATCATCTTTCGGGACAGTTTCTATCCACATCTTTTTGTCGAAGAAGACTCCGTCCTTTGCATCCAAATCCTTCATGAAGAACTTCTTTATGTGGTCAGCGTTGAGTTTCTGTAGCGGTTGGCCGACTGCTTGGATAATTGCTTCAACTCCACCGGCTGAAAAACTCTTGCAAACTGGGTTTTTCTTCCTCCTGAAATCGAGAGGAAAAGAAAAATCTGTGGTTCCTCTTTTATCGTCAATTTCATCGAGCTTCATAGCGCATTCGTTGATCTTTGGGAATGATATACCAACATTGTTACCGAAATCAACCATTCCGGAGTCAGTATCCGCGAGAATTACTCCATCATCAACATCTACGCTTGGAAGAAGGTCGCAGCGTGGAACTCCGATAATATATGGTGTAGGAGCTTCGAGTAATGTAATATACGATGGATTTGCTGGTAAAATCGGAACGACCGCCCCTGAAAATTTCAAAGGACGAAGTAAATGGGATAAAGCTGTAACTGACATGGTAATGTTTTGTAAGGACTTTCCGACAAATACAATCCTGTGGTCACAAAGCGCACAGGAAATTAAGGTAAGAATAGATTTTGTCGGGAAAATGGAAAATAGTGTATCGAATGAGAAAAACTCACTATACTTAATTGTCTGGTTAGGTACAGATGTCGGTCCGACGTAGTGATATGGCGTCAATTTCATTTTATTCTCGCCATGCTGGAATTGGAAGTAGGAATGTATAGAGTCGCATGCAAAGAGTGGGAGATGGAAAGAGTTATGATGTAATATGTTGAGAGTAGCTGTATAATCTTGTGGAAGAACTTGTGGCATTAATTGAGGAACATTGATTGGTTTTGCATATGTGATGTTAGGATTTTGAATTCTGCCTGAGAAATAACTTGCAGCAAAGCGTAAAAATTTCATATGACTGGCATAATAAACATTTCTGCTTGTAATAATATATGCAAATTGTGTGTTTCGAGTGTTCTCACTTGCGTAAAATGGAAGTTTACCATTTTTATGAGTTACAAGAACGCAAGCAGAGATAAAATCATAATTTGCTGAATGAACCCTGAAAATGAACATATCGTTAATTATATCATCTAAAACAGGTTCGCATTGAGGTTTCGTTCCGGTTGGCAATGAATAATCCACGATAGCTGAAAATGGCAAACTTTCAATTTGATTTGGAGGGTAAATAACAAGAGGAATCGGTTTATCTGTTGGTTTTCCGTTAGGTGGTATTCCAACTATTAAAAATTGTGCAAACATGGGCCTGATTGATGTTGGTTTGGGCATGGTAAAATGAAATTCTGAACCCCTTTAATTTTCCGATACGCCCTTCCAAAACAAAAATAAAAGATAACAAGTAAAATAATCAAAATGGCATTAATTAAAATTTTGTCAACGATTATTTTTGTTTCAAATTAAAAATCAAAAATCATGGATCTCTCTACATGGATATATGAATCACATTATAGAGGAAGGAGAATTGGGTTTCATTCTCAAAATAAACAGCAGCTTATGTTGAACTTTCTTGAATTAGATGATAGTAGATTTTATAAAGATTTTATTTTAAAACCCAAAACAAGATACGTCGCATCCGTTCATGCTGTTGGAACTGATATTGTAGCACAAAATGATTGCGGCGGAAATTTATCCGTTTTAGGCGAATGGAATCATTCATCACAATTTAATAATGGCAGAGGAAGTTTTGAAGGCGATCTAATATTAAATTTCATGACAAATTCAACAGGAAAGATTCGATTATCACTCAGATTAGGATTCTGGTGTTCAGAAGCAAAAGGAAAAATAATTTTTTCAAATTTCAATTTGGAAGAAGATTATTCATTTGCCAGATTAGGTACCAGCAATGTTGTTTTTGATACAAAAGTTGAAAATTTTGAAAAAATTGATCTTGATAGAGTCGAATGGTGGTTAGAGCAGAATAATACAGCCTACAATCAAATGAAAGAACTTTACGGTCGATCTCCTTTCAATGGAGAGCAAATTACCATTGAATCTAGACAAGGAATTAATGCTTATGCTTTTGCTGGAAATCCTATTGTATGGAATGAGCATTGCATGCTAGATTATTTTAATTCGGATGACAATGAATTTTCCGCTTGTTTTGGAACAATTCACGAATTAGGCCATACATACGACCAAACGTTGCTAACTAATATTAATTGCGAGTTAATGGCTAATTTCGCATTGTGCTACGCTGTTGAAAACGGAAACCTTAAAATTTTCTTTGATAATGAGATGACGGTTGGAAGAGGTCTCCAAGATGGATTCTATAGACGCTGTTACATGAACTCAATAAAGGTTGGCAAATACCACCATGACGGATTGTTATATTGCTTGTTAAGAATTAAAGACACAATTGGATGGGAACCATTTAAGAAAGTAATGAGAAAACTTATTGGTACTGATAATCAGAAGAAATCACCAACAGAAGCATTGAATATTTGGATGGAAATGCTGATTGATGAATCTGGAATTAATGTTAAAGCTTTGTTTGAAGAAGGAGAGTACAAATTCATAATGAGTCAAGAGAAGCTTTAAACTATTGACTGACATTCTCTCAATTTTTTGGCACACATGCTTTATATCTCAATTTTCTATGATAAAAAGTTAGTATTTTTGATCGGGAAAAAGTTATTATAAATCACTACCTACTACCTCGTATTGCTGTTATACTTTTTTGTTATTTAAATAAAATATGCGCATATTATAAGAGCATATCTGAAAATGATAAGTGCATCCATAAGTTGTTAAGGTTAATTTTGTGAGGGTTGTCTATCAGCTTTAGCGCACCCTTAGAAACAAAATGACGCTTAAAAAAGTTCAATATGACCAATATATTAAAACTTTGAAAGCTTCACAATATGTTTGAATAAAAATCGTTTGTTATGTTATTATATATCTTTGTTTGTTTTTGATTTACAAAATTTTTTTGTTTTCCAGCTTTTTTACACAAGGATCGACTACACCATAAATAAAACATTAAATATGGAATATTATTTTAATTTTTTTTTTATTTTTATTCAGATTTTTTGTAAAGTTACGATATTTCAAAATAGAATCAGTACATGAATCTGAATTTCGAATACATTGCTGCTCATATCAGCGATTATATTAAGAACGAAAACTTCTTCGATACATTTGATATGGAGGCTATCAAAACAATCATTAAAAACTCACATTTGACTGTTGATCAGTACAATACTCTTCTCAAACAATCTTCACCAACTATCAATGCCAAAGAATTATATATATGTACACGAAAAGCAAATGTTACTATCCAAAATCTCGAAGAAGTAGTTTCAATTCTGAAATCTCTCAAAAAATACATGAAATTCAATGTATTCGATGGAATCGTTGATGTTTTGAATCACACTGAAAAAGATATAAGTGATTTTACGAGAGAGATTAAGAATCTTCAAGATAAATTAAAAGCATTTCAAAATCAAACTCAAAATACAGCCAAAGAAACGACTAGCAATCAAACTAATGAAAATTGCAATCATTCGCGAGTTATTTTAGCTAAAATAGCAGAACTTAAACAATCTAATGATTTTGAAACTGTTTACAAATTCCTTGATGAACTTTCTTCGCAAGGAAACCATGCAATGATTTCAAAATCATGCGATGAAGGACTTTGGAGAAAGATTGCTCCTAAAAAATCGGAATATGAATATGGGAAGAATGTACTTCATGTCGCAAGTGAAAAAGGAAATTTCAGACTTGTTAAATCACTCATCGAATGTGGCTGTGATAAAGAAGCAAAGACTAATGATGGATATACTCCACTCATTTTTGCATCACAAAAAGGTCATCTTGATGTTGTTAAATATCTTATCTCTGTTGGAGCTGATAAAGAAGCAAAAGATGATAATGGGTGGACTCCACTCTTTTGGGCATCAAGATTTGATTATCTTGAAGTCGTTAAATATAGGGTGTCCAAAGGTGTGTTTAGCACAAACCTGAATACTGCGAATAGAAATAAACAAGTTACATATATATAAAGTTTATTTAAATATAATCACCATTGGATTCAATCACGCGTTCGCAGCGATCGATCCAGGCTTGAAAGACACGCTTTAAATCATCATGAGAAAATTGCTCAAATTGCTCTCTTACAAAATTTTCAAGATCATCTGGACTCGCGAATTCGCGTCCTTCAGCTCTCTTTTTTAGCGTGCCGAATAAATAAAAGTCAGAGGGTGCAATATCAGGTGAATAAATTGGGTTTGGAACAACTTTGACATTGTTTTCCAACAAGTAATTCATTACCTTATGACTTTTGTGAACTCTTGAATTATCAAAATGAATTGCAAACTTTTGTTTTTGTTGTTTGGATTTCTCAAACTCATCAGAATTGATAATTTGAGTAAGAACATTGTCAATTAGATACTGAGCATTCATCGTATTAGGTTTTTGAAGAATATCAATTGCGATGATGCCATTCACGCCCCAAAAAACCGACAATATCATCATTGGTGTGTCAATTTTTTTCTTCGGGAATGTTTGCGGATTTTCATCCTTCGGGATCCACATGATTTTGGCTTCTGTTGCATATTGAAACCAAGACTCGTCCCCTGTTACTAAAAAGCGAAACTTCTTGGATTGATACGCACCCAATATAGAGAGGAGCTCTTTCGAAGATTGGACTCTAGATTTTTTTGAACTGAATTAAGGTTGTGCGGAACCCAACGTGTATACGCTAGTTTGTAGTTCAAATAATTGTGCAGATAATAACTGACTGTTGTACGTGGTATCTTTGTCATCTCCTCTATCCTTCTGAGTGATGCTCTTGGGTCTTCATCTAGCGCTTGAAGAATTGCTTTGATTTTTCTTTGATCCGGCGATTTTTTGTCAATTTTTATGATGGGCGCCTTTTTGTTCATGAAGTGATACATCCTAACATGATACATTACAGTGGAATAGCTAGGAGCATCCATACCGAAGCATTTTACCAATGTCTCGTAGATTTTTTTACAGTCTTTGCATTTTTAGTTAGTATACAAGTCATGTGTATGGTGGCACTACGTTCCACCGTACCCATTATATGTGAATTTGACACTTTACAAAACCGTTAACATATATTTTACAACACAAACGACAACACTAACTTAACCTTAAATATTTACAAAGCCGCCAACCACTTCACCCCACTAATGTAAAAAATAAACGTTCTCACTTACAAAAGTATTGCAACTCCTCCCATTGCTGTGCTTCACATAACAGCTCATATTCTTCTGACTCACTTTCTTCTTCATATAGGTCAAAATCACTGTCAAAATAAATGTTAGTAAGTTTTGACAAAGCTAATGAAACACGTTTACCGTTTGTATCTATTGCTTGTATAAACTTTCCATTCTTCATTCCTTCATAAACGCTCAAACTAACTTTACCCTTTCTCCCTCGTATCTGATAGAATGTATTTTCACGAGGAACGAAGAACAAATTCTTGAACTCATGACCGTTGTAGTTTGTTATCTCAATAGTTTTCGTCATTACATCCAAATAAAAATTTTCAGTAAAAATAAAATAAACTTAAAAATAAATGATATCACCACTCCCACACGTATGAAAACATAGCACAAAAATAAATTTAGGTGAAGTGGTGAGATCTCACCTCTTTTTTCACCTGTTTTTTCACCCACTTGAATTCATTGCTTTATAACTCTCTTCCTTTCTCCAACTCTTCTAGCTTCTTCCTAAGTTTAGCAATGTTGTCCTCATGAAGTTTAATCTTTCTCAAAATTCCTTCTTTATCTAATGGTTGCTTTATCTTTCTAAACTGAACTCTACCATCCTTCATAGTATGAACGTAAAAACCTTCTGGAACCGCTCCTGATTTAATGTATTCTACCAAAAACTTTTGTTTCATTGCTTCAGTGACTTTAGTCGTCATTTCAATCAAATAAAAATTTTAATATTAAATAAAAATAACGTTATTTTTTCAGTAAGGAAACGCAGGAGTTTTACGATTTATTTGAGGAGTAGGTTCTGGTTTAAATGTTGGAGTCGGTTTAGGAGTTGACTTTTGAACAGGAGTTTGTACTTCCATAGGTTCAGGAGTCATTGAAGGTTTTGCTTGTGAAGGTGTTGGAGTTTGTTTAACTTCAGCTACTTCAGTATTATTTACAACATTTGCTTTGTTTCTTTTCAACATCATAACTGCTCCTGCTGTAGCTAGCAAACCTAGTGGGAGACCATATCTTATATAAGGACTTGACCAAATGCTATTTTTGACAGGAGCTGGTGGAACACCTAACCTTGGTGAGACTGCTCTTTGCCATTGTGCAGCTCGTAAGAAATATTCAATAGGTGCTCCATAATCGTTTGGTAAAGTTTGTTTCATAGATGGTGAAGGTTCACGAGAGCTTGATGAAGAACTCATTTATAAGCTTTAAAAATAAACGTTCATCCTTTATTCCTCACTGTCGTCCGTAGCTAAGTTATAGTCATCTAATCTTATTATGGGGATGCCATTAGTACGCACCTGAATGGCAAAGCAACAATCCCTCATAAATCCAATAAGTGGCTTTGGTACATTTTCAGTTGCTAGTTCAATAGGTCCTTTAACAGACAATTTGTATGTTATTGGAGCAGTAGATGTTTGACCTTGCTGGAAGCAAAAGTCCACTTCTGTTGGAAAACCACATAAGAAATGTGTGTTGTCATAGCTATCCCATTTATGTTCCACACTACCATCATCCACCAATGACCTCATAACATCTTCATTAAATCCTATCATATCATTGTTTGTATTGCAAGCGTTCGCAACCATTTCATAAAATACAGGTCCATATGATTTTTCGGGTTCTGCAGGCATATTTCCATAAGCTCCCATGGAAAGCTGAAGATATTTAAACTTAGGGTTCTCAAAATTAACATAATAGTTGTCTTTCTTTCTAAATAGTGCCCAAATACTTTTAACATTAATAGGCGTATAAGCTGCTGTAAATGTTGCACTTGAACTATCTGTATTCTTTGAGAATGAACCGTCCATAGGAATCCAATCCATAACTTTAACAGGAAAACATAAAGCCTCGTTTGTATAATGTTCTACAAGTTCTGTATAAATGTTAGGGTCTAAAGAGAATGACTTTGGATGAATGAAACATTCATTAAAATCCATCTTTGTTCGAAATAGTTGCTGGGTTACAGTTGTAATAGTAACTGTTCCACTAGCTTCTACTGCCTTCGTTATCATAGTGAATGGTTCATTCCATGGAACAAATTTATTTGTCGGTGGATTTGAATCTGAAGCAAATGCAACTTTAAGAGTTGGATTGAAAGCAATGATATCATTTACAGATATAGATGTGCATTGTAAGGCGTCGCTACTGAACTTTACTTTAAGCTGAATGTTTCCTGCAAAAGCTGGAATAAATCGAATAGCTTCTAATGGAAGGAATCTTCTAACAGGAATTCTTAAACGAAGCTTAAAATCAAATGATTTTCCTGCTGTAATTGGACCACTAACAATTTTGTCCTGTTCTGCACGTTCCCGAATGACTCCATACATCTTCATGTCGAGTCTTTGAGAAAAC